ATCCACTTGATGAAGATGAAGCTAGTGCTCTCTTTCATATGCAATAACAGGCTGAGAATTTTTATGAATAAAACTTCTGGAATTTAGAAAGCTTTCCCATAGCTGGTAACATGAAGGAACAAGCTCTTAGAGAAATTGTAGAAATGCCCCAAGGGAACACTAAGATGGGGCTGAGCGCCTTCAAAGAGATTCTTAGTACAAACTGTGGAAAGTTTCCAGGACAAGTTTCAAGTTTATTTTTTAATAGCAGCAAATAAGAAAATGTAAGGGTAAAATTAAATCAGAATTTAAAATCTATTAAAAAGATTTCTTTCTAGATCACAGGTATACCTTATAGGTTGGTTGCCTTATATACTGTTTTTCAAACAAGCCTAAGTACTTTTAAAATGTCATTGAGGGTTATCTTGGTTAACTCCTAAACCACAAAGTTTCATAAAACAAAATATTTTATATAACTCTGTATTAATAAATGTGAACAGGGCGGTTCTCCTGGGGAATAAAATGTGCTTTCGCTAATATATACATTTAATATTTTAAAACTAATATGAAGTATTTGCAAATCATGTATCAGATAACAAACATATCTAGGATACATAAGGAACTCACATTAACCCAGTCGAGAAAAGGAGCTAAGGACCTGAAGAAACATTTCTCCAACAGAAGAGACACAAATGGTCAGTAAGCATATGAAAAGGAACAGAGCAAGTGAATCAAAACACAATGACATATCATTTCACATCTACCAGGACAGCTATAAGCAAAGACAGTACTGCCAGGCACAGTGGTGCATGTCTGTAATTCTGGGATTTGGGCAGCTGGGGAAGAAGGATCACAAGTTCACGTCCAACCTGGGCATACACTATTTAAGACCCTGTTAAGACTATGTAAGACCCTGCCTCAAAAAAGAAAAAGAAAAACAACATATTTTCGGCTGGGATGTAGCTCTGTGTGATGATCTTCGGTCTAATTCTCAGTAAAGAAGGAAGGAAGGGAGAGGTGGTAAAGATACTGAAAATAGGTATCTTGAAAATTTTGGCCCTCATATGCTGCCAGGAGGAATGTAAAATGGGGCAGCTGTTTTGGAAAGAGTCTGACAACTTCCCAAAAGATTCAACAGTTCTACATTCCACATAAAGACAAAAACACATATTTGTATAAACACTAGACAATGAATATTCATAGCATCACTGTTTTTTTGTTTTGGTTTGTTTTTTTGAGAGAGGATCTTGGTATGTAATTTAGGCTAGCTTTGAACTAATTATGTAGCCCAGGCTGGTCTGGAACTCATGGCAATCATCCTGCCTCAGGCTCCTGAGTGCTAGAATTACAGGCATGCATCACCACACCTGGCAGCATCATCATTTATAATAGCTCCAAAAGTATAAGCAATTCAAATTTTCTCATCTGATGGACTGATAACCATACAGGGAAACATCTTCTGGGAATAAAACTAAAGTACTGATGTTACAACATGGATGAAATCTAAAAAACATTATGCTATCTGGTGAAAAAAACCTAATCAAAGTGACTATATGCTGTATGCTTTCTTTATATGAAATGTCCAGAAAAACAAATCTATGAGACAGTAGTGGTTACTTAAGGCCAGGGAGCGAGGTGGTATTTGGTAGATGAAACTAGAGAATGACTGCTACAAGACACTAGGGTTATTGCTATTAACACTGTGGTGACAGTTACCCAGTTCTGTTAGTTTACTAAAAAACTCTGAACTGTACTCTCCAGGATCAGTAGTGGTGAACCTATGGCACATTTGCCGCAGCCGGCTGTTTGTTACCAGTGAAAACTCTAAAACATTCGCCATTACTCTAGACGGATAAAAGGCACAGTATGTAAGCATTTCAAAGTCGTTTTACTTAACTTTACAGTAAGTCCCTGGATTACAAATATCTGAGTTGCAAATTTTCACAGGTGTACTGTATATGACTCACTTGGTCAGATACAAACAAATCCAACTTATGAACATTTTCCAGGAACAGAACCCATTTATAAGTCAGGGACTTCCTGTATTTCTTCTTCTTCTTCTTCTTCTTCTTCTTCTTCTTCTTCTTCTTATTTGCAATATTGGGGATTGAACCAAGAGCCTTCCGCATGCTAGCTTTGAGCAAAACCCTCAGCCTAATGTAGTATTTTTAAAAAACCATTTTGGATTACAAACTACAATAAATTTAATGATAATTCTATTTTACCTAATCTTTAAGGTATAACTCTCTTTTAAAATAACTAACATAGGGCCGGGGATATAACTCAGTGGCGCAAGTGCCTGCCTGGCAAGCGCAAGGTCCTAAGTTCGATTCCCAATAAGAACAAAATAAAATAAAATAACTAACATAAATTCAATCACCTGACTCATCTCACTCCACTCAGACCAATAAAAGCATAAGTTTCCTGCCACATTTTCTAGCCTGTTTCAGATAACTACAGTGTAATTTGGGGCTGAACTTCACCAACCTAGCTTAACTAGGACTCTATTGCTAGTTTAACTAAGTACTCAACTGCTCTGAATACCTGCATCTCTGAGAGTTGTTTTAAAAGCAAGAATTTTAGATTGCCAAAATATTAAGTATAGGCTTAACTTTTCAGAGTTCCATGTGGCCTTCAATTTAGTCCTCTTTCATTTCTGACTAAGGACCAAATTCCTGGTACTTAAACTCGTATCTGAGAATTACTGGGTTTCTACTATCAATGGTGAGGCCAAGTTTGAAAAGCAGGGTCCCCGGTACCGGAGAAAAACCAAAAAAAAAAAAAAAAAAAAAAAAAAAGAAAAGCAGGGTTTCCCATAAGGATACAGAGATATACAGTTCACAAAATAAACATCTGTTATACCTTGATTAATACCTTAATAATGGCTCCATGCTCTTTTAGGGTCAATCTTATCTCCCTAACAGGACACAGAGGGCCAACCCTGAACTGTTTTCTATTCCCACCTCATCTTTACCTCTCCTCCTCCTCAATATGTTCTTTCAGCCTCACTGGAAGGCCTAAGACAAGCAGTTGTCTTCACCTGACCCTCTGGTCCAAGCAGTGCACTTCGTCAATGGTTTGCTTCCTATTTTATGACTCTCCTACCTCCTGCTCACATTATACTTGTCTTCCCTTACTATACTCTAAGACTCCTAAACACAGTGACTGCATCTTGTTTATGCTTTCAAGGAAAATTAATACTTTTTAAAATAAATGTATGTGTGAGGGGATAATCATTTATTTCTATCACTCATTGAAATTCATAGGAAAAGTATTTAATAAGTGTTTGTTGAACGAATTGAGCAGGGTATTTAGTTAGGTTGTGTAGAATCATCAAAGGCAGAAAAGTGGCAAAAATAAGAGAAGAACTAAGATGGCCCTAATTTATACAAAGGACAGGTATGAAGAAGACCTGCTATGGGGGAAAATGTGATCTCATTTTAAAAATGACTTAAAAGATAATGAACGCTACAATAAATTACATCAGCATAGAAAATAAACCCAAAATTTAATAATTCAAATATTTTTTGTCTTTGAAATACTGAGTTTAAAAGCCGTATTTCTGAATAGTTGAATCTTAACAATCAAGTCATGTCTTGCTACATGCCCATCTAGATCTCCCTTTGAAGGTCATCTCTCACATGATCTTAAGTTACCACACTAGTAAAATTGAATTTTTTCTTTTTTTTTTTTTGAGACAGGTTCTCATTATGTAGTTAGGCTGTCTGGACTCAGTATGTAGCCCAGGCTGTCCTTGAATTCATGGTGATCCTCCTACTTCATCCTCCCCATCCTCCCAAGTGCTGGGATTACTGGTGTGCACCACCACACCCAGCTCATATTTACATTTTTAAAGAACCAAAATCATTCCACCATTTAAATCACCAGGTATTACTGTATTATAAAAAAGGAAAATCCTCTGCTATAGTACATCTTCTTTATTTCCAAAAATATTATAAAAACTATCAGATGACTAAAGTACATATATTTAGGTGCTTTTTCAGTAAAAACAACTTGTTCTGGCCCAGTTTCATTGTAGTGAAACACAATGTGGAGATTATGACAAGGAGATGAACAAAAATATGGCTGTGTGCCCCTTTAGTAATTCACTTCTCTGAACTATTATTCCAGTACCAATGGTATATTTAATGCTGCACTGGGCACAATCAGGAATACTGAGAGGATGAATAAATAGGAAAAAGGTGGTTAAAATTTTTAAAATACCATCTTAGGCCAGGCATGGTGGTGCACACCTGTAATCCCAGCACTCGCGAGGCTGAGGCAGGAGGATCATTGCAAGTTTGAGACCAGCCTGGGCTACAAAGTGAGCTCAAGGCCAGCCTGAACTGCATAGCGAGGCTGTCTCAAGAAGACAAAATTTAAAAGAACAGAAAAAAAACCCTGTGTTATATTTTGAATAAAAAGATCAGCCACTCCTTTTCAATGAGTTTTAAAGAGTATTCCTACCTTAAATAAGGTCTCATAGGAACAAAACACTGCAATACTATCTTTCTTCAGTTCTGTCTCTCTTCATGGAGACATTTTCTTAATGAAGCTCAGACAAGAAAACCGAGTCTTTATTAACCCTGTTTTGGTTCAGCAGGACCAAAAAACGTTACAGTCAATTCTAACACAATGCTATTACCTGAGGGTTTTTATTAAAGTTCTCTGGGCAGTGAGGCTTTAACTGCTAAAATGGCTTAAACTTTTACAGTTAAAAGACAAAACAAATACACACAAAACTTTAAAGGCAACGAAGTTCTGACCTAGATCTCATTCTCTTTCAACAATATGTTGCTCCCAAGCAGCACAGAGAGAACATGTGAAATACTGGTGTGGCTAGAGCTTCTATTAGTGAAGATCAAGTCACTGGCCCTATCATAAATGTTTATCTCACAGAGAAAATATAAATAAATAAACAAGCCTATGCAATCCAAAAAAACATTAAGTGTTGTATAAAGATAAAAATGGCAAGTCTTGGGTCTTTATATTTTATAAATTTTTCTGGTGTTTTTCATTACCTCTTCTTTTAGTGCATGTTTCCTCTGTTCTAAACAGATCTCTTTAGCTCTCATCATCTGTAAAGTCTCTTTAGAAACTGCATACTGGAGTTTTTCCATTCGTTCAGCAGCTGCTGCCCATGATGCTTTGCCAAATTTCTTCTGATCTGCTCGCATTCGATCGTAGACAGCTATTAATGATAATTTTTAAAGAGACATTAAGACATAAAACAGTTTGATGCCAAAGAACTAAAAAATCTTAGATTTCACTGACCACACATAAATTTTACCTCCATGATAAATCACCTATATAACATCTCTAAAATACAATTCAGCCAGGCGTGGTGGCACATGCTTGTAATCCCAGCACTCGGGAGGCTGAGGCAGGAAGATAGTTGCAAGTTCAAGACCAGCCTGGGCTACAGAGTGAGTTCAAGGCAAGCCTGAACTGCATAGCGAGACTCTGTCTCAAAAAGACAAAAAAAAAAAAAAAAATTCAAAGGTAGCATACATTCTAACATCTCACCCTCAGAAATAGTGTTCTGTAGATGAAACTGAACTGTCCAAATAATTTAGAATATTTTTAGAAATGCATATACTAGTGTTATTAACTTCCAAAACACTTATAAAATTTATCCTGTGACGACTTTATGCTTTCTTGTAGGTAGGTGAATTGAAATAACTCAGGATTAAAAACATTCAACTGGGCATAGTGGCACATGCTTGTAATCTCAGCACTCAGGAGGCTGAGGCAGAAGGGTTGCTGCAAGTTCAAGGTCAGCCTGGGCTACATAGTGAGTCCAAAACTAGCCTGAACTACATAGTGAGACTCTGTCACAAATAAACAAACAAAAAGACAACCAACACTGAAATCCACATTCCAATTGTTAGCATTCTGTATTCCCCCAACATAACATAACATAGAGGGAAATACATCAGATATTACCATGGCCCTTACCCTGGTCCCCTCCCCCAAAAGGTAATTTTTGTACTGCTACTATGCCCTAACCATCTTCCATAAGAAAGAACAGTTCAGAAACTTTATATAAAATGTCTCCCCCTTTAACAATAATGCATGTATGTGCTTAAAAATCGAAATGTACAATCAGTTCTCTGTGCTGAGCTCTTTCCCACCTCTAGCAGCAACTACTCAAATGCAACTAAATTTTAGCCACTTTCAGTGTATTTGTTCCATTGAGGAATATTGATGTTTCTAGATTTACAGTCTTTAAGAATCATTTGTTCATAATGAATGCAATTACTGTATACCACAGACATATACTAATAAAAGGGAAAAGAATCATCTGTTCAATTCCTATTATGACAAATGAATCTGCTTACTTAGAATCTCCATTCCCAAAAGAGTTACAACACTTCTTTTGGTTCTCTGAGTTTTGCTGCTATTGTTTTTGGTGGCCACATAAGTGCTAACAGAAAGCAATGTTTCCAATTCATAATCTCTTTGAACACCTCAATTTCAAGGTTTCAAACAAAATCTGCCCATGTTTATTGAATGCCAAATAAAATTTTCCCATTTTAAAATGTCTGTTCATCTTTTAAAACTGTAAGACCAATGCAGTAGTGCTCTGTAAGGGAAAAACAACTTGGTACCTATGTAGATTTCTGTTAAAAGTTTACTCCTGCCACAGCTGGCAGGTATCTTTTGTCAAGTATTGAGAGTGGGTGAAGCTGGCTGAAAATTAATTACACGTACGGACAAAGCCAGCCTGAGAACATGGAGAGCTCCTTGAAGCATGTAAACAAGCTATTGCAGCTTGTGAACTGATTGCTGGGTAGAGAGGTTGAGAATGACATCAACCTCTTGAGGGTATAAATAAATGCTCTACCGTTCTTGGGCAGTTCTCCACTCATGAGAGAGAGGACCTCCACCTGACCCAGCTCTTGTCTAGTTTTTTCTCATTCCCATCACCATTTTTCCCTGGGACCACTGAGAGCCCCGAACAAGTTGTGACATTTGGCACCCAAACAGGGACCCCCAGTAGGAAAAAGTGGGCAGTGGAAATGCTTCTCAAGTGTGCAAAACAGGAGAGAAATGAATTGACTGGACTTAGTATTTAGCACAGGAGGGCACTGGTACTGGCACATCAGGTGTAAAGCTTGGAGATATGGTATCTCTAGAGCCAGAAAATATACAGACTTCAGAGAAGCCAAAAAGAAAAAGGTATATTGAATTGCTAGTAGTTAAAAATAGGACAAATAGTGTCTCAAGAATCACAGATGTGTATGTATATAGAAGTGTTTTTCATAGGCCTGACTCCTGCATTTATTGTTCTTTTTTGGATTTTGGTAAGGAGGGGTTTTACAACCATAAAGGATTCTGCTCAGAACACTATGTTAAAATCAAGTCCCGAGGGACAAGGAAGATGGAGCAACAACACCTCCAACAGAGCTTGAGCCCTCTACCCTCACCCAATTTAATAAGGAGTGAAGAGGGACAAAAGGGACCTTTCCCCCACCGAGGGAAGTGTTTTCCCACGAATTTCATTTTTCAATGTCTACCCTGTTACTAAAGTTCAAGCTCTTAATGATCTAAGACAAATAATGTCTTCGGATTTATACAGATATTAGCTTGTCATATGTGTAAAGGGTGGCCTTCACAGAAGCTATCACTCAGGTTATTCATCCACAGTCTGAAGGAAAAGGAAAAAACAAGGTTGTTTGTTTTCATTGCGGGGACGACGGACATTTTGCCTGAAAAGTGCTCTGCTGCACCCAGAAAGGCAGCACAATTATTATTTGTCTCTTCAACAAAACCTTCCAGTCTTTGTACAAAGTGTCAAAGAGGATGTCACTGGGAAAATGAGTATAAATCTAAAACTGATGTGAAAGGTCAACCCATCCCAGAAAACTCCCATTGGGGCCTGCCTTGGTCCCACCAAACAACAGGAGTGTAGATTGGGTGCAGGGAGGGCTCTGCACTCTGGTCCTCCTAAGTGGACTCAACTGGGTTCTTCCAGCCACCCATGCATGTGCAGGACTGGTCCAGCCTCAGCTGTCCACATGTGCCACCAACTACAGGTCTGTGTGCCTGGGGCCAAATAGGAAGGTCATGACTGCCTGGCTCTCGCTGCAGTGTGCACGCCTTGCACATTTCTGGCATGGGAAGTTCAACTGGTGCAAACAGTGCCTATGCTTGGAATCAGAAACACAGACAAAATATTCAGTGGCCAGAACAGGAGGAACAGTAAGTGTGCTCAGGGCCTGGGGAAAAAATGGCTGACACAATGGCTGTGCATTTCCATTCCCTTCTGCCTGGCAAACTGGATCCCAGAAAAATGTTCTGGGCGCCTCAGCCTGCTGGCTGGCCATCCATTATACTAGCAGGTGGCCATGGCTACAGAAGTAGTAACCGCTGTGCCACTTGGGGAGGGAGAGCATGGGCAATGGAGCCCATTATAACAGAGCCCCCGTCAGCAACTTGCCCAACCTTAAGGCGATAAAATGAAAGCTGCAGCCAGAGGCTGTAAAGAGATCTCCAGGTTTTGCCTGTTGTCACTGATTCCGGCTATATGAAAAATTCAATTACTCAAAACGTTCAAATCACCCCAGACTCTTGCATCACTCAATTGGTTAACATTCTTCCTTTGACAAAAATTAATAAAAATTATAAATAAGAAAAAGGGATCCAAGGGCTTGGATCTTTTGACACCTATTAGTTTGAACAGATTAAACAAAACTGCCTCGAGATGAAACTGCCTATTAAAGAAAAAAATATTTAAAGAGCTTTCAGACGTGTGGATGTTTGAGTTATTGCCCAGCCCAGCACCAATGGCTTAAAGTATGGCCTCTGGATGTGGCCACAACCAACCCCACAGGGAATGGGCAATGTTTCTCACCCTAGCATAAGCGTTAAGTTAACCTGGGAGGATGCAAACTGTAACAACTTCATCATGGTTGGGTCACCTTATCAAACAAAGACAAGAAAAGACGTTACAATGAGCTGTTTATTACTGACACTTGCCAAACAGCATCCAACAGCGGTTTTATTTTTTGACATAATGGCTCTTGCCAGTAAGCTACATGGAAGAACATTCCCTCTTGCATCATCCTGATCCTGCAATTGGAGTCTATCTTTTGGATAGATATATATTGTATATCTTGGAGTTTTTACAGGTGGTTAATCCAGCTAGCCAAACTAATATGAATGACCCTTTTCAAGTACATCCCAGAAGTCTGTGTGTCTACTCCTGGACACTGCACTGATCTTTTTATGAGGGATCCTAAAAATGTCCTGATAACTGATTTCTTTGGAAGTGCAAGGAAAGTAAAAATTAGGACAGAGACTATTAGTTTTTGACCGGAGTCAGAAATGACAGAAAGCAGCCACATGTCCTGATGCTTGCTGACGATATCGCCTGCAATCCTAGAAATCCCCAACCAGCTACTGTGTTTAGTCACAAGAACATGGAACTAAATGTGTATGGGGATGACGTAGAATTGGGTTACTGAAGCTCTGAGGTGACTATGAAAAATTTTTTTTATGGGTATTAACTGGGAGAATCCCACCTAGAACTCCCAGGTTAAAACATCTTCCTTCTGATGAGAGAAGCAATATTCTTGTTTATATGACAGGACATGGTGGAAATAGTTTCTTGAGATTTCAAGATTCTAAAGATATTACCAACTTAGAACTTGCAGATGCTTTTGAACACATGTGGCAATTACCATAAACTGTTCAGATCAACTTAAATGATTTTCAGACTTAAAGTATTAATTAACTCTGCCCAGTTTTTGGGCTAACTTCCCTGGTGTTATTGTCATTATCCTTCAGATTAATTCAATTTGCTTTCCTCACACCCTTTTTCTTTCCTTCAAAAATAAGCTCAGTCCCCATAGCAGGGGGCATCTCTGTCTTCAGGGATAGGTCATCTTTGGGTAGGGGAGGTTATGTAACAGCCTCCTCTTCTAGAATACAGGACACAGGTTTATTTTCTGTACAAAAAGACTGACTTACAAGCAGTCATATGGGCCTTACAAGATCATTCATCCACTCCAATTAATCTCTTTTCAGACAGTGCTTATGACTGAGGAGTGATGCGCCACACTGACTGCCACTATACACAGTTCAAGAAGATCTTTTCCATTTACTTCACACTCTCCAATTTGTCATATGGTCACACCATATTCCCTGCTTTATTGGTCATGTACGTTCCTATTCCTTGTTACTTGGGCCTCTTACTGAGGGAAACGCTGCTATAGATAACTTGCTGGCTACTGTCAATGTTATTCCTTCAGATACCATTCAACAGGCTTCTGCTTCTCATGCCACCTTTCATCAAAATGCTGCTGCCTTGCACAGTTTATTTGACCTGGGAACAGGCCCGAGAAATTGTTAAACAGTGTTCCTCATACACATATATATATATAATACCTTCCCTCACCTTCTATAGGGGTCAATCACTAAGGAGAAATGAAAAATTTAAGTATGTTTCAAAATGTCATCATGACTGCCATGCTGCAATGTTGTGTATGGTTTTGATTTCTAAAATTCTGGGTAAAAAATACATAACTTATCTGTTAATATTCTACAGTGATTTAAATATTAGGATATCCATGGTTGTTACAAAACAGTAGTTCCATTTTATGTTCTAAGGTGTTCGGTATTCTGATGAGATAGTAATATTAAGCTTATTGTCTCCATTATAGTGTATATGTATCTTCTGAACATAAAGCACTTCAGCTTTCAGCTCCGAAAATGCCTAAGACAAATTTTACTGGAAAACTTACCTTTTTGAGCTTTAGCTGTTATTTCAAAATATTTGACAGTAAGATCCTGAATAGATAATACAGCCATGTGGGCTTTCCGCTGCCAATCAGCATCTTCTTTTTGCAGACTCTCAATTCTTCGGGGTCCCAGGTAATCATTCTCCATAGATATCTTTGTAGAGAAAATGTGAAAAATAAGTTTATTTCTAAGCTGGGTATGATGGTGCATACCTGTAATGATAGCTACTTGGGAAGTTGAGGCAGGAAGATCATCAAATTTGAGTCAGCTTGGGTACTATAGTGAGACTCTGTCTCAAAAATACAGTTTAAACCAAGGTTGAGCCTCTGATTCTTGACATAGGGGCCAAAACATATGTGAAGACAGCATTTTTAAGAAATAGTATTGGGAAACTTGTATCCATATGCAGAAGTCTGAAACTAGATTGCCAACTCTCACTTTGTTAGGGGAAAAAAAAAAATCAACTCAGAATGGATTAAAGGCCTAAATTTAAGTACTGCAATTCCGAAACTGAATCAGAAAGATCTCTGTGAGGGGCCAACCTGCAGTACATGGTGAGTGCAAAGCCAGCTAGACTACATAGGAAGACTTTGTCTTTAAAGAAACAAAACAACCTAAAAAATATAACTATCGTATGATCTAACTATATCACTCTTTGGAATATATCTGAAGGAATTAAAGTGTGCATAGTATAGAGATAGCTACACATGTTTACTGTGGCACAATTCAAAATAACCAAGATAGGGAATCTGCCCATGTGCCTACCAATGGGTGAATGGATAAAGAAAATGTGCTATATATACACAAAAGAGTATTAGGCCATAAAGAACAAATTATGTCATTGCAGGAGTATATATGGAAATGAAGATCACTGTATTAAGAAAGACAGACATTTACAGTGTGTATCACCTGTTTTCCTTAACATAGAATAGGGTGGGGAAAGAAAGTATGAGATGAAAGGAGGGAAAAGGGTTGAGAGGGGGCAGGTAAGTAGTTATAGCAGTTTTGTTCTTTTATTCATCCCCCAAACATTTACTGAATGTTTATGTGCCAGGCATTAAGCTTGATGCTAAAATAAAGACTACTACTTGTTTTACGCCCTATTCTGGGGAAGCTACTGATTTGAAAACAAGTGAATTAACGAGCTTATTTAACACAAATCTATTTTTTGTCCCCCCCTTATCTCCTATTCCCCCATCCCACTCAATATATACACAAAGAAAATATACCAAAATGTTAAGCACGATTACTTTGGAGTACTGAGATAGTAAACAATTTCTTATATTATTTATATTCTCAGAACATGAATTATTTATGCAATAAAGTTAATTAAAATGACATTAAATAAATGAAATGCCGAAAACTCAGAGTTTAAGATTCATAACATAAGTGGGTCATGGTGGCCCATGTCTGTAATCCCAGCACTCACAAGGCTAAGGCAGGAGGAACGCTGCCAAGTTTGAGGCCAGCCTGGGTTATGTAGTGAGTCCAAGGCCAGCCTGAACTGCATTGCGAGGCCCTGTCTCCACAAACAAACAAACAAAAAAAAAAAAAAAAAAAAAAGGTTGATAATATATAAAAATCAGTCTATCTGCACCCTGAAAAAAGACTCTGGATAAAAATACCTTTTTTGGCCTTGTGTTTGTGCTCAAACCCAGGACCCTATACATACCACACAAGTGCTCTAACATTGAGCTACAACCCTAGGCCCTCTTCATTAAAGAAACAGAGAAGAGGCTGGGCCTGGCAACACACACCTGTAATCCCAGCATTCTGGGAGGCTGAGACAGGCAGTATAGATCAGTCTGTGCAATTCAGCAAGATAGCAAGCCCCAGTTTCAACACAAAAAATAACAAAGGAGCCAGCCATAGTGGCACAGGCCTTTGGTCCAAGCACTTGGGAGGCTAAGGCAGGAGGATTGCCACCAGTCTGAGGCCAACCTGGGGTACCTAGTACACTCATGACCATCCTGAACTACACAATCAGACCCTGTCTCAAAAACAAACACACAAAACAAAACAAAGGGATTGGGGATACAACTCAGTGAGATGGCACTGGGTTCAGTCCCCAGTACAATGTGTGTGTGTGTGTGTGTTGTGGGGGAGGGGAAGTTAAAGAAAGTCTTAAGAATAAGCCTCATGACAGCCCTGAGGAATTCCTATAGAAACCAAGACAGAATAAAGAGAATCTAAGACCCAGCAGGACTAGAGGGAGGAGAAACTTCCCTTGCCACTTTGCAGCACTCGTTGGTATGTGTGGTGACTGACGTCCATGGACCTAACAGCATGAACATCACTGACCTTGGCAACACTGTTCTGGGGTGATAGGCAACTCTCCTGCCTGGTCATTTCCATCACATTTCCCAGTGTCAACTCAGTTACTGATTCATGAAAGTTCCTGGACTTTCCACAGGAAGTTCTTCATGCACTCCCTGCACCTTTCCTTCATAGCATTTGTCACAAATATACTTTGCATTATTTTGTGAACTTGTAAATACTGACTGCTTCTCTTCAGTGAAAAGGCTGGTTTGTTTTCCACTAACACACTGCCTGGCATAAACAGGAAATTATAAAATATTTCCTGAATGACTGAAATAAATTTTGAAAACTCACTTCCATATACTTTTGTACTGCACAGAAAAATAATATAAAATATACACATAAAAATGCTCTTCTGAGACATTATGTGGAGGGATAGAGAGAAAAGGGTAGATCTGGGAGAAAATATAGGCTTACAGGTGGGCCTTTTTAACAATTTCTTTTGTTTTGGGGTCTTTGGGGTCCTATCTTAGTGGATATGCTGCAGCAGGGTTATGGGGATAGGAAAGAAGTATCAAAAAAAAAAAAAAAAAAAAAAAAAGGAAGCATCCAGCAGAGGCAGAATCTAAAGCTGCAAGAAAGAGACAGGGTGAGGGGCTGGGGATTTAGCTCAGTGGCACAGTGCCTGCCTGGCAAGCGCAAGGTCGTGTGTTCGATTCCCAGTACCTGGGGGGAAAAAAAAAAAAAAAAAAAAAGGAAGAGACAGGGTTAACTGGAGTAAGGAAGTCCCTAAGAAAATACCTTCAAACAGCAATAACCAGAGATGTTCACAGTGCCAAGTTGTTTGACATAAAGGGAAAACACTGAGCACAGAAATCTAAGTTATATCCAATATTCTGCTAAAATACAATCTGATACAATAATACTCATGAAGTTTTTGATAAGAAATTATGCTATAATACAAGGTGGAGACAAGTCAAAATCACAGATATGATTTTAATGTAATTACATAAAAGATTTCCAGAAAAAATATCACAGAAAAAGAATAATTTTATCTCTTGAGTTCACAAGTCATACCATCTATAAAGGCTGAAAGCATATTACCCCAGGAGTTTCCTGTTTCTCCTCAAGCAAACAATGAGCTCATGTTTTCGTATATAAGGCCCTGCAAGAGGTAAAACTATGCATTACCTCTTTTTTCCAGGGTACAGGGCAGGGAGGGGAAGTGCAGATAAAATCAGAGCCTAAAGTCTCCATCAATAGTTAGAAAATGGAATTATATGAATCCTACATCTGTGACTATAAATACAGTGCCAAACAAAGAAAATTAAGGCAGGTGGGGGTCTGGGTCCTTGACAGCCAATTCTCTACTCATGTAGGCTGGGATTTTTACTGTTATTGCTTTTATTTTAAAATTCTCACAAGATCTCCAACTTCAATAGTCAAATATAAATATGCACTGGATTTGGCTGATTCCTTTTCTCCCTTTTAGATTTTAACCATGCCTAACAACTTGTATAATTTGAAGGCAGATATCACCTAGTAAGGTGCATTGAGGGTACAAATGTGTAAAAATGTTGTCTTAAAAAATTTATAATGTAAGTGGGGGAGGCAGGAGAGAAATGTGAGATGCAGAAATCTTTTGAAAGATTAGAAGAAACAACTCTGCTACTTACAGTGAGAGTCTGATAAATTACTTGATTGTTCATTTAAAACACTGATGTTAACCTATTTGTTCAGTGCTAGTAAGATGACGAAGTATGCCTCTGGCTAAAAAAAAAGGTATCTTAAGTCCACTGAAACAAAAAAGTATATAAGAAAGATCACATTTAGTTGTTCAGAACAAGACAGACTAGACTGAGGTTCGTAATTGGAGATGGTTTTGAAGAAGGAGTAAGACTTGACAGGTACCTATGGAGAATGTGGGGCTAGAAGTCTCCAAAAAGCCACAGGGGAGGGAAGGAGCAACGTGAGCCAAAAAGTCTGGAGGTAGGTGAGTGCAGTGCAGGTTAAGGAAGGCCACCCAGACTCAAGCTCAAGTGAAACAGATACAAGCGAGGGGAGATAAGATGAGAAAATGGGTTCTGAGTACTCTGAGGCAGTCTTCAAATGTCAGGGAGAACAGTGATACAGACACTCATTTAATGATTACACGCTTCCTGCAACTAGGTTATTATTAATTGAACTGTTCATTAAATGAGGAATTATAAAACTAGGAGGTATGCTAGACATTGTGAAACAAAAGGAAAATGCTCAAAAGTAAGGGCAACTAGGGTGTGGGAAAAGACAAGGGAAAGAAGGGGAAATTACGTAAGTATGTATATACAGGATCGCTAATATAGTTGTACTACTGTCTTCTATTGCTCTACAGAAAGGAACAGATAATGATTACTTGTTTGATCAATCTTGTATACGTCTATTTGTTTTCTTGAGAAACCACTTTGAAGATATCAATAAGTAATACAACCATTGTTAATTTCCTACAACTTTGTCCGTAACTCTGTTTTGTTTGTATTGTTCTTATGTTATTTTGTAAATGGATGTCTGTTTATTAATATGTTTTCCTTCTTTTATTTCTTAAAATAAAAAATAAAATGAGGAATTATATATAGTATGTACAATATTAAAAACAAAGAAATGGTCAAGGAAAACTGCAACTTGATGACTTTGCTTTTATTTGTGTAACTCTTACATACAGTACTGTAAAGTATAACAGAACATAAAGCTATAAACTATATAATACAATCCCCCAAAATTACAGCACTGTATAAACAAAGTGTACTGTACAAAAAAGACACTGAGGCTCTATGACAATGAACAGAAATGTACCAAAAAAAAGAGATGGGTTTTAAGTCCATATGGTAGGTTAAACAGGTAGGTCATTTTTTTGTTTT